ATGTGATTTGTAATAAACGCACAAATACCTTTACATTGGTAATAATAACAACTGCTGAAATTTTACTATTTAAAAAGAATACTATTTGTGAGTAAAATAAAAAAAAAATTGAAAAGATAGACCCAGAATTGCGTGAAATATTGTGATCTAAAAAAAAATTTTTTTTGTTGTACTACTTATGATCGCCAGTGTAGATATATAAAGAATAGATATCAAGACATAAATAGATACTCTTTATTTAGCTAATATTTATTTTGTTTACTAATATTTATCTTTTATATTTTCAATATATATAGCAAAACTACTGGTAATATATTAAAAAATTTTTAAAATAAAATAAAAATTTTTATAAAATTTTTCTTAATAATTTTATTATAAACTTTAAAATAAATAAATTTTAGTTAAACTAGAACATTTATAAGATTTTTGTATATAAAAATTTTTTGGAAATTTTTTTTTAGATTTTTTTAAACTTGTTAATAAATGTACTACCAGTAGTACAAAGGCCTATCTCCTATCTATTAATTAATTTGATTCTATGTAATACTTGAATCTAAATAGTTTGAGTATATATATTATTTTATAAATATCAAAATTAGTTCTATAGTAATTCTAATCATATATAATCTAGGTACATTCTTGGCTATAATATATCCAAAATGGATCTGTCTTAAAAACTTTGACAGTTTCAGGATCAGAATCTTTTAAGAATGATTTACCAAAGTATATACATGGCTCATTAAATGTGGCTTTCCATAACCAAATTTTGTCTATATTAAAGTCATCATCATTATTTTTTACTAGCATTATTACATATGAACCCTATAGAGGTAATGATTTATAAGACATTGCAGCTGCCAAAAAACTAAATGATAACCCAAATGTAAGTACTAGATCATCACAATAACTAAGGAGACCCCAATTTAATAATTAGGTGGTTTACATTACCCTCCTCTCTTTTTACCTCCCCCCTCTTCATAGTAAAGGTTTTTTAATTTTAAGTATACTTCTGAGAATACGAAAAAATGAATAAAAATTATGTACTTACTG